AGCAGCTAGGCAAGCCCGTGCCAGGGCAGCCCTCCGCTGCTGTGGCGAGCTCCACTCCCTAGCACTGGGAGTTGTGGCCCGGGCCAAGGTCCACCCAGGCCCTCGCAAGCTGGCTGCCGTGGCGCAGATAGGCGTCCTGCCCCCAGACTCTTCGTCATGGCCATTCACAGCCACTGCCTCCAAACCTCTAGGCCCCTCCCTTCTGGCCCTTGGATGTGTTTGCTATGTACCCTTGGGCCAGCTGTGTCAGAACTCAGCCATGAGACGGCTCTGAGGGTCACAGTGCCGCTCACCTCAGGCAGGAAGCACTCGCAGATTCTGGTCATCCCTCTCCCATTCTTAGCTGCTAGAGCCAGCACTGCCAGATGAGTGTGCTGGCCCAGAGCAGTGTGGTGACTGAATGTCCAAGCAGGAGGACATGGCTGCATCAGAGAGATGCGCGCTTTGAGACAGGAGGCCCAAGAAAGGGGAGTCGGGGTTACCCAGGTGCAGAAGAGGCCAACAGCTGCTGTGCTCTGGCTTTTCAGGGTCTGCCCACACACGACACGGAGGGCAAAGAGCTCAGCAAAGGCCAAGCCAAGAAGCTGAAGAAGCTCTTCGAGGCTCAGGAAAAGCTCCACAAGGAATATTTGCAGATGGCTCAGAATGGAAGCTTCCAGTGAGGGGGCACGGGACTGACTTTTGAAGCCATTGTGGACTGGTGGCTCCTGTCTGCCTCAGTGACAATGCCCCAATGATCCAGTCATGTTTACAGTCACCCTCGGCTCCTAAATTAAGAGTTGTGTTCACGTACGTTCATGTCGTTGTTGGCTCTGAGACATTAGTAATAAATTTTTCTCAACAGTGGGACCCTCTGTGCCTCGCCCTGCATGCTCAGCGCTTGGCAGGGGCCCCGGTGGCCAGCGGGACCCTCTCTGCCTCGCCCTGCATGCTCAGCGCTTGGCGGGGGCCCCGGTGGCCAGCGGGACCCTCTCTGCCTCGCCCTGCATGCTCAGCGCTTGGCGGGGGCCCCGGTGGCCAGCGGGACCCTCTCTGCCTCGCCCTGCATGCTCAGCGCTTGGCGGGGGCCCCGGTGGCCAGCGGGACCCTCTCTGCCTCGCCCTGCATGCTCAGCGCTTGGCGGGGGCCCCGGTGGCCAGCGGGACCCTCTCTGCCTCGCCCTGCATGCTCAGCGCTTGGCGGGGGCCCCGGTGGCCAGCGGGACCCTCTCTGCCTCGCCCTTGCATGCTCAGCGCTTGGTGGGGTCCCCGGTGGCCAGCGGGACCCTCTCTGCTTCGCCCTGCATGCTCAGCGCTTGGCGGGGGGCCCAGTGGCCAGCGGGACCCTCTCTGCCTCGCCCTGCATGCTCAGCGCTTGGCGGGGGGCCCGGTGGCCGGCTGGGGCTGCTTGGTCAGCAGGTCACAACTTAGGTGTTTGGGTCAGTTGAGCTGCTTCAGCTGGCCAAGGAATTTCTCCCCCATGCTGATGGCTATCGGCTAATCTCTGGTGTGTGGGCACATTTGGAGGTATTTGAGTAGGAAAAAGACAGGCTCAGACTGGCAGAGCCTGCTGAGCCCTAGACAAAGGCCGCTCAGTCAGCCCTCGGGTTCTGATGAATAAACACGCTGCAGGTTTTCCTAGAGCCGCTCCATACTGGGCAGAAGCAAAGCCAGCGGCTCAGCAGGCGGGCCCCTGGCACGCTGCCCAGAACTGCCGTTGGAGACAGCGAGTCCAGGATCTGCATGGCTGATGGGTGAGATGTGGGGGTGGGGCCGTCTGTCCCCAGCGTCCAGTGTTGTCCTTGCCATCCTGCCTCCACACTTGGATCACCTGGACTAAGAATCACCACCCAGGTGTGAAGGTGCTTACCATCCTCGGCTGAGGAGGGTGTAAGCAGAAGCCAGAGCCTGCTTCATGCCTGTGGAAGCTGCTGCCAGGCCAGATCCATTGGGACAAAGGACAGTCATTATTGCTGTGGACAGCCAGGGGGATGCTCAATCCAGTGCACATGGATAGCAGCGGCAGCCCCAGTGTGGGGAGCATGGCAATGTTGGGTTGTGGGTGCACCAGTTCTTTTCCTTGCACTCCATGTGCGAATGCTGTTTACTGCAGTGGTGTGTGACACAGCGAAAGGCTAGAACCGGCCTGTCTGTGTGTCAGCAGGGTGCTTGGCACAGCTTGAGAGCACCCACCCAATTACACAGGGAGCGCTAAGGTTATAAATCAGTGAGGACTGCCTCTAGGTGTTAATAGGTCTGACTGAACCTTGTCAGTGTTGTATATATAAAAGAAATTTAGGCCAGGTGTAGTGGCTCACGCCTGTAATCCCAGCACTTTGGGAGGCTGAGGTGGGTGGATCATGAGGTCAAGAGATTCAGACCATCGTGGCCAACATGATGAAACCCTGTCTCTACTAAAAATACAAAAATGATTAGCTGGGCATGGTGGCGCATGCCTGTAGTCCCAGCTACTAGGGAGGCTGAGGCAGGAGAATTGCTTCAAACTGGAAAATGGAAGTTTCAGTGAGCCGGGATCATGCCACTGCACTCCAGCCTGGTGATAGAGCAAGACTCCATCTAAAAAAAAAAACAGTAAGAAAGAAAAATTCCCCAAAGTAAAACAAACACGTTCCAGTTATCTGTTGCCACTTTAACAAATCACCCCAAAACTTCATGGCTGAAAACAACTATCGTGTTATGACTCATGGCTCTGGATTGACTGGGCTTAGCTGATCGGTTTTCAGTTATAGGGAGATGGGGGTCATCTCTAGGTTTGTGCCTGGGTCCCATACTGGGGTGGCTTGGGCACCTTTTTTCTCTGTGTGGTCTCTCCAGCTTGGCAGCTTCAGGGTGGCAGATTTCTGTCGCAGGAGCCTATAGTGCCAAGGGTGCAAGTCCTGGGAGAGAGAGGCAGGAGCTATATGGCCTTTTAGGATCTAACCTTGGAGGTCATGTCTTGACTTCCACTGCCCTCCCTAGTGGAGGGCATCACAAGTCCCACCCACATCCATGGGGAGGGGGAGGCACAGATACCACCCTGTGGTGGGCATTACTGGGTTCCAGAAGGGATGGGAAATACTACTGCTGCTATTTCAGAAAGTAACATCTGCCACAAAACCATAAATCAAATTGGCAGCCTCAAGAAAAGAACTTCAGCTTTCTAAGAATTGGCCATATTTGTTACACATCTTTAATAGGGTATTTTCTAAAGTAAAAAAAAAAGTGCAGAAAAGTCAATTTTAAGAAATAGTTTTTTTTTTTTTTTTTTGAGGCGGAGTTTCACTCTTGTTACCCAGGCTGGAGTGCAATGGCGCGATCTCGGCTCACTGCAACCTCCGCTTCCTGGGTTCAGGCAATTCTCCTGCCTCAGCCTCCTGAGTAGCTGGGATTACAGGCACGCGCCACCATGCCCAGCTAATTTTTTGCATTTTTAGTAGAGACGGGGTTTCACCATGTTGACCACGATGGTCTCGATCTCTTGATCTTGTGATCCACCCGCCTCGGCCTCCCAAAGTGCTGGGATTACAGGCTTGAGCCACCGCGCCCGGCCTAAGAAATAGTTTTTTTGTTAGTAGTAATATTGGAATTGTTATTTTCAAACCCTATATGCCAAGACAAATAAGATCACTGATGTCAGCAACCAAAACAATTTTTTTTTAGATGGCGTCTCCCTCTGTCACCCTGGCTCCAGTACAGTGAAGTGATCTCTGCTCGCTGCAAGCTCCACTTCCCGGGTTCAAGCAATTCTCCTGCCTCAGCCTCCTAAGTAGCTAGGACCACAGACACGCGCCACCATGCCCAGCTAATTTTTGTATTTTTAGTGGAGACGGGGTTTTACCATATTGGCCAGGCTGGTCTTGAACTCCTGACCCCAAGTGATCTGCCCCCATCCGCCTCCCAAAGTGCCAGGGTTACAGGTGTGAGCCACTGCGCCCAGCCTACCAACCAAGTTTTCAGTGTACGAGAAAAAAATACAAGGATAAAAACAAAGAAATCAAGGAAAATCACTTTATTATTATTAAATATGAATTAGAAAAACTATGAACTGACTTGCAATTTAAAAACGTAGATTGTTTCCTGGCTATGTAGATGGGAAGGGAGAAAAGCAAGGCATCGCTGGTGTCAGTGAGCAGTCCCGGCCCCAATCTGGGGCTCTGAATCCCACCGCCACCCACTGAAGAAACAGCCAGTTCCAGGTCTGCAGCAGCAGGAGTAGCTGAGCCCAGGTCCCGTTGTGCCCCAAAAGGGAAGCTTTCAAACACCAAGGAGTCACGTCAGAAGGTCATAGGACAAGCTAGTGACACACAGCAGCTGGGCGGTTATGTGTCAAGGGCATTCTGCTAGGTGGAAAAGCCACCCCTGAAATGTCACATGCTGTGTGACTCCACGTAGGTAACATTCTCAAAATCCAAGCTGTAGGACTAGAGAACAGATGGTGGTAGCCAGGGTTAAAGGTGGGGGCAGGTTCGGGGCGGGGAGTGACTGCACAGGGACAGCGGGGAGGTTGGCAGGGAGGGCAAGTCCTTGTTCTTGTTGCCATGGTGATCACAAATCTGCCTGTGTGATAGCAAAAGCTAGAACCACACACACTGTACCGTCAGTCTCCTGTGTTGATCCTGTCCTCTGGCCAGGCACAGTGTGACCGTCAGGAGACCAGGTGGACAGCACGCCAACCTCTACTAATTTTGCAGTTTTCTGGAAACCTGTCATCACTTTTAAAACGAGGCTTCAGGAGCTCCTACTGGACGTTTGGGACAATTTGAGCACTGAAAAGAATGCTTCCAGTCAGGGCAACATAGTGAGACCTCATCTCTACTAAAAATCAGAACAATTAGCTGGGGTGGTGGCACATTAGTGATCCCAGCTACTCAGGAGGCTGAGGTTGGAGGATGGCCTGAGCAGGGGAGGTCGAGGCTGCAGTGAGCTGTGATCACGCCACTGCGCTCCAGTCCAGGCAACAGAGCGAGACTCTGTCTTAAAAAGAAAAGAAAAGAAAAGAAAAACATTAGTTGAAACCCAGGCAGCTGTATTTATTCTCAAAAATAAAGAAAGCTACAACACTGTCATTACTGGAGGTGGCTCCTGTGTGAGCTCCTTCTGTAGAGTTACTCAGTGACAGAACCAAGCATTTCTCCTTGCATAGGAAGTGTATTTGGGGGCCACCAAATGGCACTAGCTAAAGGGGGAAAGTTGTTCTTTCCCCAAGGATGCCAGCTAAGAGAAGAAGCACCAGGATTAGATATCTCCATTCTGCAACCCCACATGAAGTCACTGATTCAGGCAAGGGCTGACCTCAGATGCTAAGACCCCTGGGTGAAAGCTGGTAGGTGCTGGATGATTTCGTGATGCCAAAGTGTCACCCTGCAGGTGGCTTGTAGGTTTCCAGGAGGAGATACATGTTACTTTCTGATGTTGGGCTCTGCCGGTCTGTCCCCCACTCCGGCAACCACATCCCCACAAAAAGAAGGATTTCCCCTAAAAATATAAGTCGGTATTGAATGAAGCCTTTAGGCTAGGGCTTCTCAACCTTGAGCGTGCCTATAAACCGCCCGGAGTTGCTTGTTAACACAGATTCCAGTTCAGGTCTAGGAGAAGCCCCAGGTTCTGCCATTCCTGCAGTTTCCCAGCTGAGGCCTGGGCTGCTGGGCTAGACCCCCCTCAAGAGCAAGGCTGTCCAGCTCACTTCTTGCCTCCAGGAAATACTGAGCACAGAGAGACCGTGCAGGTGAGGCCATGAAGCAGCCACCAGACTCGTGCAGAAGGTGGGGCACTGTGTCGGATGACAAGGTGGTGTTTTCAATACGCCTGCGTCAAAGAGAGCAGAAAAGAAGGACTGGGAGAGACTCAAGAAACAAAACCACCGGGTTTGAGGGGTGATCTTTGAAGGATTCGAACCAACCTGCTGTAAAGACATTTCAAGAAATCTGAATGACCAGGTATTGGATGACAGTAAAGATTTTTGCTAATTTTGTTACTGTGATAATGGTGGCTGCAAAGGAGGTGTCCTTAACGAGATACAAAGTAGCCTGAGGCCTATAACTCAGTATCCTTCAGCCACGGAAACTGATGCAGCACACCCCAGCAGCTGGAATCCCTTCCAGTGTATCCTCTCCCCTGTGCTGGAAAGCAGGTACCACATGTCCTTACCCGGCCAGGAGGAAATACCCTTGTCTTTAGCTGCCACCCTGGCATGAGCAGACGTTGGCCGAAGGCCACAGTGCCATCTAAGGAGGCAGGAAGGAGTGGCCTGTGCCCGGCTCCCAGGGGTGGCTGCACGGAAACGTGTCCAGATTGCCAGAGGCCTGGTCCCCACAGCTGGTGAAGGCCTAGCTCCACCTGGACTGGAGTAGGGCCAGCTGTGGCCAGTTTCACACCCCGCATTCAGTGATTCCGGGCCGCTTTCCTGCCTGAAGTTTGCCCGCTCTGAGTGCCCACTGACCGGTGCTCCTGCCCGCCCCCAACTCCCTCGAGTCTCCCCTGGCTGGGTTGAGGGCCTGCCGTGACCCAGGCTGGCTGGACCCAGGCCGCTGGCTTGGCCCCCAAGAGGACCCCAGCACCTCCCTACCCTGCGCTCTTGCTGTCAGGGTGCAGCAGATTCTTCTGGAATGACATGGCGTGGATATTTTTCACGTATATTAGTTTGCCTGTGAAAAGTGTTTTTGTGTGTGTACATGAAAGCTCTGTTCAGCTGGAAGAGCCAGATTTATATCTTCCTGTTTTTCCACAAAGAGCAGTCTTTGGTGTCTTTATTATAAGAACATCACGGGCCGGGCACTGTGGCTCATGCCTGTAATCCCAGCACTTTGGGAGGCCGAGGCAGGTGGATCACAAGGTCAAGAGATCGAGACCATCCTGGCCAACATGGTGAAACCCTAGCTCTACTAAAAATACAAAAATTAGCTGGGTGTGGTGGCACGCGCCTGGTAGTCCCAGCTACTTGGGAGGCTGAGGCAGGAGAACTGCTTGAACCCGCGAGGTGGTTTGCAGTGAGCCGAGATTGCACCATGGTACTCCAGCCTGGTGCCTGGCAACAGAGCGAGACTCTGTCTCAAAATAATAATAATAATAGTAACACCAAAAATTTCCAATATAAAGAAGAAACTGAAAGGCCCTGTGCCCTGCCTCTCAAATCCCTGCAACCTTTGGGGTACGGTCTTCTGGAAGCCTTCTTTCTGAGGGTGTGAGGCTTGCAGAGCCACTCCCTGCCTGTGCACCCCTCTTTCATGTGGAGTATACCGTGGGCGTTTTCTGTTCTCCATATACCAGAAGAAACCTGCCTCCTCTCCTGGATGTCTCTGGAGCCCCAGTTCGCTAATGCTGCACAGGCTGAGCCACCACCCTACCGAGGGGGATGTGGGCCTTTCTGAGGCCTAGGCTCCAGCTCCTGCTAGCTGTGAGGTTGCCCAGCAGGTGAAGGACATGGTCCCCTCCAGGGTCAGAGAACTTAGCCGGGAGCACTACAGGGATTTCTGTTTTCTCCTCTGTTGAATGGGGCAATGATTCCTGCCTTCTCTTCCAGGCTAAGGTGTAGCCATTGTCAGTAGTGCCCAGGTAAAGGCACAGCTGACCAAGTGCCAGGCGCTTTTCCAGGTACTAGCAACGCAAAGGAGAAAGATGCAGTGTGGTGACTGTCTGGGGTTGTTTCCCCGAGCCCCAGTGAGGACAAGGCAGCCACAAGCAGAACCACAGGCAGGGCAGCCGCTGGAGGGGACTCTTGATCTCCAGGTTGGGGGCGGCTGAGGTGGCAGAGGGGCTGTAGACAGGTGGGCTCAGGCCTGAGGCCTGGCAGAGGCAGCACTGGGGAAACAGGGAGGAACTCCACTGAGTGCTGAGAAGCCTGGGGCTGCCCTGGGAGTCCTGACCCCAGTGGCCTTCAGCCCCGGCTTCACATCAGCATCAACTGTGGACTTCTCTGTTTTGACACAGGGTCTTGGTCCTGCTCTGTCACCCAGGCTGGAGTGCAATGGCACAATCACAGCTCACTGTAGCCTCCAACCCCTGAGCTCAAGTAATCCTCCCGCTTCAGCCTCCCAAGCAGCTGGGACTGCAGATGCACCACCATGCCTGGCTAATTTTTAAATATTTTGTAGAAATGGGATCTCATCATGTTGCCCAGGATGGTCTCAAAACTCTTGGGGTCAGGCAATCTGCCCACCTCGACCTCATTACCTAATTGCATCTGTGAAGACTATTTCCAAATGAGTCTCTTCCAAGTTTCTACCACCACAGTCATTCCAGTTCCAGCAGATCTCCTGAGTAGCAGGTCCAGCTGCCCCCAGCACCAAGGCCCAGCTCCCTCGGGGGCTCCACCCACCCAGATGCCACCCTTACCAAGCCGACATCCAAGAGCAGCTGGATCTCATTACCGCAAACGGACTTGAGACTTTATTCGATGGGAGGAAGGACCCTCAAAACTGCAAAAGACCAGGTTCTTTTCTTGTGTCATTTATTTCGTTTATGCTTCTGCAAAGCAAAAAGCACGATCATTGTAGAAAAGTCTGAAACTCTAAATTAAAGGAAAATAGGAATTGAGAGCACACACCCTCTCTCCTAAAACACAGATGGCCAGAGAGGACTCAGCACGCTGTGTGGGTCAGACCTCCGCCAGGCACTGGTCACCTCTGAGGGTTTTTAAAAATGTTTTTTGTTTTAATTAATTTTCTTTTTTGTTTTTTTTTGAAACACGGTCTCCCTCTGGTTACCCGGGCTGGAGTGCAGTCACTGCAGCCTTCACCTCAAGGGCTCTGGTAATTCTCCCACCTCCCACCTCAGCCTCCCAAGTAGCTTTACAAGCCTGAGCCACCACATCTGGGTTTTTTTTTTTTTTTTGAGATGGAGTCTCGCTCTGTCACCAGGCTGGAGTGCAGTGGCACTATCTTGGCTCACTGCAACCTCTCCCTCCCGGGTTCAAGTGATTCTCCTGCCTCAGCCTCCTAAGTAGCTGGGACTACAGGCCTGTGCCACCATGCCCAGCTAAGTTTTGTGTTTTTAGTAGAGATGGGGTTTCCCCATGTTGGCCAGGATGGTCTCAATCACTTGACCTCATGATGCGCCCGCCTCAGACTCCCAGAGTGCTGGGATTACAGGCGTGACCACCGTGCCTGGCCTAATTTTTCATTTTTATTTTTTGTAAGCAGGGAGGGGTGCTCTTGCTATGTTGCCCAGCCTCTACCTCCCAGGGTACTGGGCTTAGAGGCCTGAGTCACAGCGCTCCGCACTAAATTTTTTCAGAGATGAGGTTTCACTATGTAGCCCAGGCTGGACTTGAATTCCTGGGCTCAAGGAATCCTCCTGCCTCAGCCTCCCAGCTTCCCTTTTGAGGTTTATAAGCGACCCTATGTTCTTAAGCCCTCAACCAGGAGCCTTTAGATGGTTCTAGATTTTCCCCATTACAGGAATAACTTGCTAATAATAATTGTTTCAAAAGTAACCTCACCCCAAAAAAGAATGTTTCGGAAAAAAATGCACAGAAGTCATGAAGACCGACGATGGCACGGTTGAACACGGAGCTCCATCAGCCTCCAGAGTCCCAGCGTAGGGGTTATTTTCCAACCAAAGTGGATGTCTTTCTACAAAATGTGGAGAGGAGGGGCTGGTACCTTCACCCCAGCCTAGAGGGCAGCCGGGGAGGGAGAACCAGGCGGGCGAGACCGGCAAGCCCCAGCCCTCCGCCCTGCTCTGCTTCAGGGGCCTGAGCTGAGGGCCCAGCGCGCCCTGCCTTTCCTCCCGGTGCGGCAGGGTCTCCCCCAGGCCAGAGCCAGGCTGCCGGGACACTGCGGGGCTCCGGGCGTGCGCGGAGAGGCGCGGAAGTGGGCAGCCCCGCCGCGTCCGCGCAGGGGACCCAGCCCCACCTCTTCGCAGGAGCGTCCTCCAACTGGGACCTCGGGCGTGAGCAGCGGTTAGGCTTAGGCCCCAACCACGAACGGGGCCGGCGAAACGGCTCCCAGGCCGAGGGGCCCCCGCGAGGTACGCCGCGCGAGGCGCGCTTCTCACGCCAGCGGAGCACGGAGGGCTGGAGGCACCCGCCGGCGGCGGACGCCATGGAACTAGGGACCTGGGAGGGCGCCGGAGACGGGGACGGCCGTGGCACCCAGCCTCCCGCGCGGATGCGGTGCCACCCGGGGAGGGTCCCAGGAGCGGGAACCCGGGCCCGCCCGGAAGGAACTACACCGCGCCCCGTCCCGTTTAAGGAGGCGGAGGAACGCAGGGCGCCTGCCGCGCGGAGGAATATTTGCATACGGCGCGGCGCTGCTTCGGGGGCCTCTGATTGGCTGCCGTCTGCGGCGCGAAGCGCAGTTGACTTGCGCCACGCTCGCCCAATCGCAGCCCGTCTTGTTCGCGGAGAGCGGAGCCAGGAGTCTCGGCCAATGGGAGGCGGCGTTGTTGGCGGCCACGGCGGCGCAGCCCCAAAGTGAGCGAAGCGACGGTCGCCGCCACTGCCGCAGGAGGCGCGAGGTGCGGAGACGCGGGTGCCGGGCGGGTAACGGCGCGCTGGAGAAGGCGCCGCGGCCGGGGCTGGCGGGAGGGGCCGCGGGGCCGGGGTGGGCACGGCCGGCGGCCATGGAGGGAAGCCGCGGGGCGGCGGGCAGGGGCGGGGCCGCGTCCTGGTCTGGGCGGACGGCGGCGGCCGCGACGGGCCTGGGGTTTGGGGCCTGGAGCTCGGGCCTGGGGCGCTGGCGAGCGGCCCCTCCCGGCCCTTGGGGCGCCCCGCCCGGCCGCCCGCCGCCCTGAAGGTCAGGGCGCTTTGTTCTGCGCCGCGGGCGGCCTCCTGGGCGGCGGCCACGCGGAGGAGGCGAAGACGGCGGGAGGCGGCGGCCGCTCAAATCTCCCGCTAGCCCGGCCCGCCCCGCGTGCGGGGGCCGCGGCGGTTACACGGCGGGGCGCGCCGGAGCGTTCGGGCTTCTCGGGGTTAAGGCGGAGACGTCCAGGTCCTCTTGGTTAGATGTTTAGGAATTTGAGCTTTTCCGTGGGGCGAGGGTCATCGTGAGCCTCGGTGGGGTCGGGCTGCGCTCCCCGGGGCTGTGGTGGTGAGTTTGGTGTGGCCGAGGGCACGTCGGACGGGGAGGAAAGCCCTCGGCGTCGCTTCCTAGCTGTGGGTGCGATGGGCGGCGCGCGCACCCCGGGGCCGGCCACCGGAACGGCCTTGGACTAGTCACTCACGGGACGCGCTTTGCTAGCCAAGGTGGGCAGTAAGTCTTTTTACTATTTTAAAACGGACTTTCACAAGGGAAAAGCGAAATCTCCAAAAAAAAAAATTGTACGTGTTATGGATGGGAAAGTGCCATGCTTTCCCTTCAGTTCAGAGATGGTGAGACAGGTCACATTTGTGTATTTTGACATGACCAGAGTCTTTTTTTTAATTTTTTTTGTTTTCCCCTTCTGAATGTTCTCTGTTCACCCCCGCGGAGGATGGCCTGGTCGTGATAAGACTTTCCACCGTCCGCAGTTCTCTGATTGCGGTGCAGGACGCAGACAAGTTTAGGGTCCAGTAAAGGGGACTCCAGTTGTGGGACCTTTAGACCCTAACGTGTGTCGCATCACCTGCCAGGGGGACTCTGCGCCCCTCTGGCAGGAAGGTCTGTCATTTCATCCTGTTGTCGGAGGAATCGTCGGGACGCATTCTTCTGTGCTTTGGTTCACATACCCAAGTCTGCATTACTTCTAGCCCCTTGCCTCAACTTCCTGCATTTAGGTATACGGTATAAAAATAGACTTTTGAAAATTCTCTTATCTTAAAAATACACAAGTATGTACATGAGGTTGTTGGACCTCAAAGGTAAGTCTTTTTAAGTTACTGCCCTCCTGCAGTAGTAAATATACCTCTAAATGACTAATACCTGTTCACTGCGCACTAGGCCTCCAGCCGGCTTACGTGTGTTAACTCATTTCATAATTAGTAACCTGTGAGATCAATACTATTGTTTTTCCATTTAACCACTCTGAGGCCCTGGGAATTTACATATCATGACTTGTCCAAGCTTAGATAAAGACCCGGGCGGTTTTAACTTCACCCAGGTTTACTGCTTCCGTGGAGGGAACGAAAAAAGTTTTAAAGAAAAATTGTTTTCATCACTATACTAAGCCTAACTGAACTCTAGCTTGTGAGGAGTTGAGCTGGTTGATCTTTACCATCTCGAAATTATATTATTCCACAGAATGCCAAATGCCTCCCATAGTATAATTTTTAGATTGAGACTGGGGTGAACGATTGCTGATGGAATAAATGATATGCAAATGTAAAATGAAGTTCAGAGAACGGAACGCGGTGATAGCATGGGGATATATTCCAAAGATTAAATGAGTGACTACGGAGAGAAAAGTGAGTTATTTAATAGTAGTTCACCAGTTTACTTACAGACATTTTTATGAGAATTTTAGGGCCTCATGGTGTGATTTTTTTTTTTTTTTTATAACACCTTACTGCTATCTTAAATAGCTGTTATTAGTATACAATTGCAGTCTTTTTTTTTTTTTTCCTGGTTGAGCAGTTACTGCTTCAGAATGTCTGCTGTTACTTGTGCCTATATATCATAACATCTTAACAGTTTGTGAATTCTGTTGTGTAAGCCTTAAATCCTGTACTATTTTTCAAAATGAATATAGTTATTGGGGAAATTGGTTGAATTCTTTGCAGTAGCAGAGAAATTTTAATCATTTTTTTTTTTTGAGACGGAGTTTCGCTCTTGTTGCCCAGGCTGGAGTGCAATGGCGTGATCTCGGCTCACCGCAACCTCCGCCTCCTGGGTTCAGGCAATTCTCCTGCCTCAGCCTCCTGAGTAGCTGGGATTACAGGCACGCACCACCATGCCCAGCTAATTTTTTGTATTTTTAGTAGAGACGGGGTTTCACCATGTTGACCAGGATGGTCTCTATCTCTTGACCTCGTGATCCACCCGCCTCGGCCTCCCAAAGTGCTGGGATTACAGGGGTGAGCCACCGCGCCCGGCCAAATTTTAATCATTTTTAAGTTTCATAACCTTGGTAAACTGAATTCTGAAAAGTTTACACGTTTTAGGGTGTCCTCAAAATGTACAGGATATTGTGTTTGCAAATTAGTCATTTAGACATCAGATTCTTCTGTAGGATTTTGAGATTTTTACCCACAAGAGGTAGTTCTTATTTGTATGGTGGTTAAGTACCTGGGGATGGGATGTGTTCACCTCTTTACAGTGTGAATTTGAACTTGAAGCTGAAATGAAAACACTTCCATTAACCTATCAGTTTTTAGTAGCCTATTGTTATTGATGGCATATTAATTCCCTGTTAGCTATTTGCAGCTAAGTGTGGAGATTGAAAGCTTTATTCTGTTTTTCTTCTTTTGAGCAATTGATAGTCTCTAGCATCTGGAGGAAGTGACCTCAAATATATGTATATATAGTAGTGCTCTGTTCTTCCGTTTGTCTGCAGTTTAAAAACTATTGTGATGAATTTATGTTGTACTTCCAAAAATTTTGCGAAAGGGCCTAAATTTTTCAATTTGTTTTGGAAGAAAAATACTTTGTGGGCAAGAAGGTGATTTAAATTCCTGATGGCCTAAGGGCCATCAGCTGTGTGAAATAGGCAAATGCTGTTACTGCTGGGAACCAAAGTTTGAATGATATGACAGCAGGGATGAGCTTGTTGGGAGTTTGGCCTGAGACTGCTAGCTAAGGAATACTTATTTTTGTTTGCTTAAAGGAAAATGTGTTTTAGGCATCCAGAGTAAAAAGCTGGTTTTACTTAGTTCGATTCTTCGACTACTACGGTGATAGGAAGTAGCTGATCTCTGCAGGAAACTGCTCTCATCCGGCCTCAGCTTAATTTTTGTGGGACCTCTGAGGTTCGAATTTATGCCTCCCAAAACTACAGTTGTAAGTAAGGTTTGTCTTTGAGCATATAGTAATGGAAAGCCCTTATCGACGGGTAGCTAGTAAATAATTTTGTATTTGACTGCTGTGAAATTTGTAAGAAGTAGTTTGTGATGATGGATTTAAATTTGTTTTCATCTGGCAGCCGCTGGTTTCCCATTCTGCCTCTTAAGAGAGAACAGGGCTGCTTTTCTTTGTTTGCCAGAACTTTAAATTTTGCATTTAGTAACAGAGGTGTTGTGTTTTTGTAGTATGAAAACTGTGAAAGATCACTTTGTAAACTTTACTTTTTGATTTTGACCACTTTGTATCCTTAAATTTCTTCCTACAAGTATTCTCTGTGTTAGCTGTTAAAACTAAATGTACGTTGATTCCATGTCCTTGGGACTTTTAAAAATGCGTCATGCATTTATCACTATCCAGAAAAGCCTGTTCAAAAACGAGATGATTTCTGTTTAATTAATTTGTGTTAGAAAGAATGACACTACTCTTTTATGTGCAAAGTACATGTTTACTCAGTTACTGAAAAGTAGCTTTCAGTGATTTGCATCTATTTACTTATTCATGAGCATCTTCTGTGTGCTGGGCACAGTTCTAGGTACTGGGGCCTCCCACTGAATAAAACAGAAGGCTTTGCCCTGGTTTCTGCTGTGGGAGACAAACGAACAAATTAGAGAAGGTGCCCCCAAACTACGGCCCGCGGGCCGCATGCGGCCCCCTGAGGCCATTTATCTGGCCCCCCGCCGCACTTCAGGAAGGGACACCTCTTTCATTGGTGGTCACTGAGAGGAGCACAGTATGTGGCAGCCCTCCAACGGTCTGAGGGACAGTGAACTGGCCCCCTGTGTAAAAAGTTTGGGGACGCCTGAGTTAGAGGGTGGTAGGTGCTTTTGAGAAACTGGTGAGGAGCTGGGATTTTGGTGGTCGCGATTTGAAATAGGTGGAGAGGGAAATACCTTACTGACAAGGTGACAAGGTCTTTTAATACGTACTGGATTAAGAAAAGTGTGTTCCTCATGGAGCTGTGTACTGATGAACTGCCCAGGAAAGAAGGGTGGTGTGCAGCAGTAAAGACTGCTGCACCACTGGTAAACGTAGAGTGTTTGGTTAAGGAAAGGAAACCATTTTTTACTTTCTTCTTGAAACCCCAGGGCTTGACATTCCATAAAGTCGCTGAAGAGATGGTCTGCTACTGTGCGGAGTCAGGTATTTCAGTAGATCTTGTAACCAAACATGAATGACTAAGGAAATGTTTCTTCTGTGTGTCTTCAGAAACTGCTTGAAACAGGCCTGTGTGTGCATGCAGACACCATGCTGTGTACTGGTAACCCAGAGACAAGCTGTCACTCAGCAGTGAGTTGATCAAAGATTTCTAAGCAACCAATCTCATTCCGTCTTGTGCTGGGCCCTGGGACTGCTGTTGAGCAGGTAGACAGGGTCCTTGCCCTCGTGGAACGTGTTCTTTAGCGGGCAAACATGTATTATTCGTTGCTTTTTTTTTTTTTAGACTGAGTCTCACTGTGTTGCCCAGGCTGGAGTGCAGTGGCACAGTCTCGCTGCAACCTCTTGCCTCCTGGGTTCAAGCAATTGTCTCGTCTCAGCCTCCTGAGTAGCTGGGACTATGGCCGCCCACCACCATGCCCTGCTAATTTTTGTATTTTTTTGTAGAGACAGCGTTTTACCATATTAGTCAGCTGGTCTCGAACACCTGATCTCAGGTGATCTGCCTACCTCGACTTCCCAAACTGCTAGTATTATAGGCATTAGCCACCATGCCCGGCTTTTGATAATGTTTTAAAGCAATGAATAGGTCAGGTGCAGTGACTCATGCCTGTAATCCCAGCACTTTGAGAGGCCGAGGCAGGTGGATCACCTGAGGTCAGGAGTTTGAGACCCTCATGGCCAACAAGGTGAAACCCCATCTCCATTAAAAATGCGAAAATGAGCTGGGCTTGGTGGTGCATGCCTGTGGTCCCAGCTGCTTGGGAGGCTGAGGCAGGAAGGAGAATGGCTTGAACTTGAGAGACAGAGGTTGCAGTGAGCTGAGATCGTGTCACACTGCACTCCAGCCTGGGCAGCAGAGCGAGACTCCGCCTCAAAAAGCAAAAGCAAAAAAAAAAAAAAATATATGAAAACATTATCATGGAAAGTTTAACAACATGATTAGCTTCTGATCCTGGACAGTGGTAATGATAGATTCAGCCAGGAGTCTACCAGCCAGGGCAATAGAAATGAAATCTGGAAGGTCTGAGGGCTTCGTATATTTGCCAGGTTTTGTGGGTGGGGATGTTGGGGTGTCCTGCAGGGGTATCTGGATTCTTTGTGAGAATAGATC